TTTCAACAGTGAAAGGTGACTAAAGAATTTGTACTTCCAATACTTAAAAGAAAATTATTTATTAGACTTTCTGGAGGGAAAACCATGACATTCCTATCCTCTGCCTTGAAACAACCCATAAATCCTTAGGCAAGAGCTGTCAATTTCTCAGGATCTACATATTTTCCCTCTGGTGTGTATTATCATTTGCTAAACATGACGGATAGCTTAATCCTGATAGACATCTTCAAGTGTTTTCCATGATTCCTTCACTAATCTTCCTGAATTTTATATATTAATCATCTGTGACAGCTGTGAATCACTCTGCAAAAACTTTCTCAAGTTCCTCATTGACAAACATTAAAGTCAACTTTCTTAAAGGATCACATTGATTTCTTACATTATTGTATACACACTTAAATCTTTGATATTATCTCTTGACAAAAGAACATAATCACTATACCATACACTGGAAAATAGCTAAGGTCAAGGAGATAAAATATAAAAGACTACAGTCATGATCCTGGGAAACACAGCCATGAAAACTAGTTTATGCTGGTTAGGCAGTAAAGTAAGTTACCACTAAGTCCCATTGATAGGAGTAGTGTGGGTATTCCTCATGTCTAGCCAAAATCCAGCTGATTTAAGCAATGGCTAGGTTTACTGGAATATGTTCCTGGGCAATTCAGTGTGAGATGTGCTGCTGCTTTCTGCTGAGGTAGGCTAACAACACTTCTGAGAGACATACACTGACCCACCCAGATCTGCTTTATAGATATTTGAGGCACATACAGAGATAGATAAATATAGCTATATGATGAACAAACACTCTATTTTCAAATCTGTTTTAGCACACTCAATTTTCTTTCTGGTAATTATATAAACATGACATTTTAGGAATGAAAAGTGTGTCCCCCTCACTCATCAAACAAAATTTTATTATGTCAAAGGCTTTTAAAATGCTAAGGGTTATAATTTGTTTGGCAGGAAGCAGATATAATTAAACCATTTTAAAAAGGGATAACACTTCCAAATGAATTGCTATGTTTTCTACACATAGTAAATACTCAGAAAGTGACAAAATGCAGGGATCATCATCTTAAACCTTGAATAACAATAAATTTCACAGAAGACTTTGCAGGCACTCAGCTTCGTGGAGATAGATAGATAGATAGATAGATAGATAGATAGATAGATAGATAGATAGATAGGCCACTAAGTAAATCTGAAATAATGTGGGGAAAACGTCTACTTGCAGATTATAACATCAGAATGGATCCCAAATGGAGATCAGTACATTGGAATTCATCCCAGGTTGTGTGCAAATTTCATGTTCTAAACTAAAATGGATGAAAATAATTAAACCTTCTTATTTTGAAGAAAATATCTCTACTGATGCAGAAGCTGGCTCCAAGATTAGGATCACAGCAGCAATTGTGGAAAACAAAACATCAATAATTGAAAACTTAAGAAGATTTCAAGGTGAGAGGTTATTTTCGTTCAAGCTTGAGAATCAAATCCATTACATGTCTCTCACCCCCAACATACAAAAATAAAAACACTGTAAGACTTTTGTCATTTTTCTTCCACCAAGAGAACAATGTTCAACAGGGTCTCAAAGGCTACTTGAAGAATGCTGGATGCTGGAAATTACAGATCCAGATCTCACAGATCTGGAGGGCCTATTGTATTCCCAATGTCATTGCATGAAAACAGAGTGAAGAATACGGATATGCCACTTTCACTAAGGTCCACTGATGTTTCCTCTGACTGAGAGAAAACTATGCTGCCTGTCTCTTGGAGACAGCAAGCAATAGTCCCTATTCCACCCAATTCACTAAAAAGAAGAAAACTAAATTCCTGAATTGTCACAAGTGCAATGACTGTAGTACAAATGCAAGGATATGAGTTTCTAGTAAATAAATTTAAAAAAACCTGCTCGTACCCTTTGATCTGTAAGGATAAAACCTTACCAGTACTGGAGGTAATAATGATGAGAATAGGAAACTTTAAACTAATGGCAAAATATGTTATCAGGATGAAGTCATAGAAGGGATTTTGATAAAACAAGTACCCTAAAATCTGAAATGAATGGGCTGCAGAGATACAATAAACCACAGTCAACACATCATACTGGCTAGTGACTAAAAATGTTTAGAGATTTTAGAAGAGAGTTGTCCTGTGAAAAGGCATTGTTCACTCTGCTCAAAATATATGGTCCCAGTGGTGATTGGCACACTGGTTGCAGTTCTTAAAGACCTTGGCCTGCAGTTAAGAACAATCATCACTGACAAAATTATCATCTGTCAGCTGCAAAAGGCCACCCTACTCAGATCTGCACGCATTATTTGCCAAACTCCTAGCATTATGTCCCAACGCACTTTATCAGAGATTTAGGATATCTGCATGCCCACCCTCCTCCAAACACCCCACCTGTCATGCCCAGCACTTTTAAATTTTAATTTTAATTATTACATTTGGCCCAGCCATTGTTTTTAACTGTGTCACTGTGTGTTGTTAATGTTATTGCTTGTTTTTGTTTAATTTTGCTGTATTATTGTTGTTGTTGTTTATTGTTGTATTTTGGGCTCGGCCTCGTGTAAGCCACACCGAGTCCTTCGGGAGATGGTAGCGGGGTACAAATAAAGGATTATTATTATTATTATTATTATTATTATTATTATTATTATATATGGGAAGTGTCCGACATGTGATCAAATACAAAAGTCAGCATCGTGATCTCATTTGCTGTGTACTAATCTTGTTCTGTATCAAATAAATAAATAAAATAAAAACTTTATTTATATTCCACCCTACCTCCCCTGGGGAACGCCAACAAACAAAAAGGCAAACATTCAATGCCTCAATAACAGTCAATACAAATATTAAAAAATTTAATTGAAGATAAATATTTATTCAGAACCATCACGCAATGCCATGACAGCATTTTCTTTCCAAAACTTTCCTACCTGAGTTTGGGTATAATCTACAGGCAGCTATGTTTTCCCCTCCCTGGTATTTTCCTTAGCTTTCCGTCCTAAATTGCAGGATAAATAGACAACGAAGAACAGGCCTCAGGGAAAATAAGACCTCCCAAAACAGCTGTTAGAAGGGCTGTGCACATATCTCTAGACATTCCAAACTTACCTCAACAAATTATTCAATGTGAAGCCAATTGCAACAAACAAAGCTGAAGCAATGTATATGCAATACATGAATCAGCAGACAGGCGCTCCCCAAACAATAGAGAGATGCTTGAGCCATAAAACAAAGATACATTGCTTGCCATGTTCCACCCACAGCATTAAAAACTTCATGCCATTTGAGCAGCTGAAGAGAAAGAATCATGCACGGCAGACCATTTCCTTTACACCAGCTTATCTGTGACCAAAGATGTTTGTTTGCTCAGCTCCCTTAACTCTGCTGCAGTTTGTTAAAATTGCTTGTGTGAAGCAGGTAATTCTGTTAATATTGCCACCAGTTTCTGTGGGTGTCTTGATGGATCAAATGTGCACAGATGCTACAGTGCACGAAGAAGAAAAAAACAATGCTTCGGATTAATTCTTTCTCCCCACAGAATAAAACTTATCTTCTGAAGTCACATACTGCTGAATAGCCTCTGGTCTAAAGGGGAAAAATGTGAAGCATGCTTTAATTACACCCGCAGGGCCCTTCAATTTGAACACCCTGCCCTCTGCGTCTGCTGCAAGACTAGCTTATCTCTGTACATTTTTCACTTGAAATAAAACAGCATTTAGTCTAGTTCTGAGCAACAGACTGAAAACCACAGGGAACAATGTATTTTGGACCCATTACAAAATGTATGGAAACAGAAATAATTTCCAGTCATCAGCAGAATTTTTTAAAATAGAAATATGCTATTAACAGTAAAACAAACTGTATCAAGAAGCAGTTATCATCAGCCACTGTGACTAAAATCCCATCTTGTACATCATTTTCTAGAGTGCAGTGGTTCTTATCCTGTGAACCATGGACCACGAGTGGCCACAAGGACAAAAAAATCTGGTCCGCGAGCCTCCTTCATCCTTACTTTATTTTATTTTATTTCCGCTCCTTTCATGATACCTGCTATTCCTTCCCTGTTACTGACTAGCTCTGCCCCCTTGGGTACACCACATCAGCTCTAGATTATTAAATATGGTTTTCTGTGGGCAAGCAGAAGGTGACTAATGGATGGCATATGTTCTGTATCAGAAACTATAGCTGATGTTGTCTATCCAATGCAATTTTCTGAAACTGCACCCCAAATAACCAAATCTAAAGCTGACCAAAAACTGACTAGTAACCCTTTTCGTACTAATGTTGGAACATGGTCCCTTATCAAAGGGTCCCTGGTCAAAAAAGGTTTGGGAACCACTGCTGTAGTGGAACCAAGAGGGCAATTTCCTTGTTCTCCCACCAATCCCTGTGGGCCCAATTCTTGAAACCCCCCAGAGCACTTTTTTAGGTGGTGCTGAGAGCTGAGAGGAAGATGACAGGAGAGAACTGTACTGAGGCTGTAAAAGGATTTGGAAGAGAATTGAGACAGGCCCCTTCTGGTTTTGCTAATGTAACTGCTTCCAGCAGCACATGTCCATCACTTGGTTCCCAGACCTGATGTTGTGGTGGCAATTACTATGCCTTTAAAAGGAGGCTCATTGCACCAATGTATTTCAATGGTACATTATCACTCATGTAAATCATACAAAATTTATCACAATGGCACATTAACACTACCTCATTATTATGAACAGTGCATCTTGTTATAGGATTATAATGATCTTTAGGATGCAAAGATCTAAAACATCTAACCTTTCCCAACTTTTTCTTGTAGTTAGGATGTGAAAATCAAACAAAGGAAAAGTTGCTGTTTACAAGAAAATCTCTCACCTCTTCTGAACTGTCATGCTGCACCTTCAATCTAGCATGCCATAAGCAATATCAAGTTCCATTTTTCATTGTTGACTTCACAGCATAGGAGCAGTATGATTAGAAGTCCTATCATACTGCAAGCAGCTTACCTCTTTAGTATGAGTGTGGAAGGAGACAGACATGTCCAAAAGCAGCTTCCTCTGTTCTACTCTTCTGACAAAATCCTGAATCCTCACTTCTAGATGCCGCGCTGCTTTGTAGATCTCTTCAGGGTCACACTCTCCAGTCTGAGCCAATTGCTCTGCAGCTTCCAGTAGCTTGTCAGCATTAGTATAGGTATTCTACCAGTAAACAGAGCAAAGTGTATGTCACATCACTGTATCAATTAAACCTCAATATAAAGACAACTGTTAATAGAAATGCAATAACACAATCCAGCATCTTTTAAGTGACAACAGTACATTCTTTGCAAGAGGAGACAGCAAAACCCCAGATAGAAGAATCTCCAAAAAGGCACAAAATATTTTCTCATTTCAGATATACAGCCTGTCCAGAGCTGGCTGGTTTGATAAAGAAGGCTCAGCATGCACTTATTTCTGTGGTCCCTGGAATCTTTCAAAGATGACGTAAAGTAGTAACTCAAAGTTAACCACTTCAGAGGTAGAGATGGTCTTCCTGGAGATATTTCGCAACACATTTGGTTATGAAGGAGTGTTGATGGCAAGCAGGTTGCAACATGTAAGCAACATACACTGAGAACACTGTTGCTGGGGGGAAAATTATTGTTGTTTTGCTGTGTACTGGCGAGGGAAGTATTCCATCTGTGAGATTTTAGCCTCATCTAGCAAGCTACAAACATTTTAGGTCTCTTAGAAATCAACAAGACTCAACAACTCACTTACTTCAGTGTGGAAATATTTCCACTCCAGCTGTTCCAGTGCAAACACAATGGCTCTGTCAAATACATGGCGCCACATGTAAGCAAAGAGCATCCTATTATTTGCAACATCTAGGAAGCTCAAAATATTATTATTTTTTCTTTGATAAATAATGTCTTCTTTGATACCCAACCAGCAAACAGCTATTGGAATAAGTATCTAAAAGCGTTCCTAACATTCCCTATGGTAAAACTTAGTTTAAGTTTCATGTTCTTGTAATTAAAATGAGACTTGAATCTTAACAAAAACTTTTGTGCTCAAATTTAAATCAGACCTTTGAGGAATTAAAGTGATGGGAGGGAGAGATAAAGTAAGTCTTTTAGTCTAATGAAATCTTCCCATCGATCTGTCAACATAATGAAGATTTATACTTTCTCTAATGATTTTTACAGAAAAAGGCTTCCCTCATGGATTTCAAAAAACTCAAAGTTAAAAAGGCTTCAAATTCACCCCACAGGAAACTATGTGAGTACATGCCTTCAAGTCGCATGGTAACTTATGGCGAATTTCTAGGTTTTATTTTTAATGTAGGGGTTATATCAGTAACTTCCTTTGAAATATAGTCCACAGCATCAAGTATCCATTGGCAGTCTCCCACTGAAGAACTAACCAGGACTGACTCTGCTTAGCTTCCAAGATCAGATGGAATCTGATGCTTTTAGGGTATTTGATTGGCCACCCCAAGACAGTGAAACGACCTGCCGGAAGAGCATCAACAGCTAAATCAGCTGTCAGAATTTTAAAATCAACTAAAGGCCTATCTCTTCCTGCAGGCCTATCCAGCCAGTTTTAAGCATTAATTTTAAACTTGTCTTATGTTTAATCTCTTAATGCAATTTTCCTGCTTCCTGGCAAGGGGTTGGACCGGATGGCCCATGAGGTCTCTTCCAACACAATAATTCTATGATTCGGTTCTGTGTATTTTAATAGGTATTTTATAGAAATACATTTTAATATGTGTAATAATTATGCTGTAACCCATCTCAAGCCAAGAGGAGATACGGATAGGAAATAAAATTATTATTATTATTATTATTATTATTATTATTATTATTATTATTATTATTATTATTATTTTCAGGCAATGTACATGTCTATAAGAGCTTCCTTAAATGCAGAGCTTTTGAAGAAAGCCAGAGCCAGGGCCTATCCAAATTTCGACATACTGATATAGTTAATCCTTGTATTATTTTATTTATTCATGTTATATAGGATGAAATCTTCTTGCATGTTTGTTTAAGGAGAAAAGACCAGAATTTGTCACCTACATACAAGTGATCCTTCTTTTTATTGTAAATCCGCCAGTTTTCCATAGCTGAGTATTTTCAGATCAAACTTCAGCAATATAAAGCACAGATTTCTCTTCTAAATACACAGTTCCTACTCATTTCCATAACTGCACACTCGTATGGGCATATATACTGTCTGAATCAGGGCCTAAATGCAATAGTCGACAGCCGACATAAGTCAATATTTAGATAAATCCCATAACTGCAATATGTGTACTTTAGTAAGGAGTAACAACTGGATTCAAGCCAAGATGTTACCAGCAATGATTATGTTATTATGTCATGCCATTGCTGATTGATCAGGATTATTATCCAGATGGCAGATGCAACATAAGTTTATTTTCTCTTTGGCCTGATTCTTCTACACTGCCTTTCATTTGACAATTTATCTGCTATGCAAAAGCCCTTTCCTCTCTTGTTTGCCACTAGTTTGTAATGGCCAAATGTTACAGTCTGTCTTTATGTCCCCAAAACACACACTGTTACTGATTTTGGCACTGGAAAATGAAACATCTTTGCCATAAAGTTGGGAGTTGGCAATTGCAGTGGATCTGCATGGACTACCAAAATTCAAAAGCAACCTACAAGAAGTGACTGAAACTGTGGAACTGTCAAATTTTATGCTGTTCCATACATTAGAGAGGCACATCATGGGGTTTTTTTTGCTTAAAAAAAAGGTGGGGCTCCAGGAAATGTTGAAAAAGACACCCTTGTGAGTGTGTGTGTGCGCGCATGCATACTCAGCTCCAGGGTTATACTTTACCCACCCTATATAAGCTATGTTTTATAGAATCACTATATAGATGGATGTTCAGGAATAGGACTTGCTGATTTTAAGCTGGCAACTTCTTTCTAGGTAAGCAAACAAAGGTTGGACACACAACCTATAGAATACTCTGGAGTAAAGCATGGAGATATGCATTCTTTCACAGCCATAGATGTACTAAGGCAATGAGATACATTTATCCCATCATTCAGACACCTGTATTTTAAGAACTGCAGAAACGTGTTTTTAATTGGCTTGCCAATGAATTTGAATTGGTGTGTATATATAAAAAAGAGTAACAGATTTATAATGATAACTGGATTAAAATGCACTGGAGTGACCATATTTTGGTGTGTTCTGTTGCAGGAAAGCAATACCTCTAAATGTGCATTGACACTTTTCTGTGCCACTAAAAAGAATTATCATGAACTTTAAATAAACATCTATACAGATATTTTTCTTGTTATTTCAGTTTCCTGCCAAGAGAAGCCTCATTAACAACGTTTTGCTGTTTTTCTGCTATATTGTGAAAAGAAGAGGAGCAAGGCCAGTAAAAAAAATATCCAACAACAACAACCTGGCAACATAACAATGCAACTGTTAAAAAGGAAGGACTTTGCCAATAGTACCAATAGTTGGAAAGCTGAGTCTTTGGCTTCAGCTTAAACTCCAATACGGCATTGCTAGGGCAAAAACGATCAGTGTTGCTGAAAGGATGGGAAAATGACAAGAACAGGAACAAGAGCAGATGATTACATGTTGTGTTGCTGGGTTCCAGTGTACATTTCGCATTGTACTGGCTTTGATTTGGGCTACATTTTCATCAAGAAGTTTTGAATGTGCATGACTAAATATGGATACACCTACAAGCCCTCCCCCCAAAGAAGAAGTCTGTCAGTAACTAGTGCTAGACACTCCATCCTATGAGGCAGCATGCATTTTCAGCTACAGATGCAGGAGCAATAAGATATTGCTCTTCCCAGTAGGCAGAAAAATATCAGTTGTATATCAGGATGAAGATCCAAGATCAAAATCACTCTGTTTGTGACTTTCCCTTAGGTATCCAATATCCCATCTTTGAGGGAGATTCTGAGGAAGTAAGGCACTGAGATGTATTGTTCTTGCTGGATCATGTCGGGTTCTGTACAGTTGCAAGCTGGCTCTCATGTCAGTGGTGGGGTGAACAAGCTCCAGATGTTAGTCTTAATGTTATAGGAGCTATCTAGGAGCGGAACCCCCAGACCCCCCAAAATTAATTACCATGGGCAGCACCTTTAAAATCATATTAAAACCTCTCACACACATCACAGCAACCACCAGTTAAATGTGAATGTACACAAGCAGCCCAGTCTCACAGTAGGTAAGGCAGAGACTGTCAAGACCTCAAAGATTCTGCTTCATGTATTTCCCCACTAACAAGAGCTGTCATTTCAGCAAGGGATTGCAGTTAACTGAGGCATTCAAAAATCAGACAGAACCTGTTTTACCAGTGCTCTACCCTGGCTGCATGTTGTCTGGAGCATCCAGGGTCAGTCTCCAAGAAGGGACCTGCCTCTGACTCTGCATCTCATGCAGAAGCTGTAAGATAGAGGTGGACAACTTTGTATCATAGACTGCAACTTCTGTTGATTTGCTGGCTGGGGCTGATGGGGCTTAGATGTGCTGACAAAAATATATGGAGATCCAATTGTTTTCTGCCCCTCTAATATGGAATCAGCCTGAGATTCCCAGGTTGATAGGAGTGCAAGTTCCCCAAGATGCAGAAGAGTGCCAATTTTTCCCCTGTAGCAGGGTGACTTGTGCCTATCTGCTCAGGCTGAAACATAGCCTTGGAAACATGACTCAGGACTTGGCTAGTCAATGTCAGAAACATAATGTTATTGTTTGGTCTCGTACATAAAAGGAACCCTCACTTTCTCAATCAGTTCCTCCACCTATCCCAACACTTAATAGAATTCAAGAAAAATTCAAATTGTAAGGGCCCTGTGAACCATCAAGTCCAGCTCCTTGTTCAGTACAGGGTTTCCAACTGAAGCATCCACAGATGCCCAGCCTCTTTTTGAAGATGTCCAGAAAGGTAGACCTCACTACCTTCCTATTCATTTAATTCCATTGCTGAATCATCCTCAATGACAAGAAGTTCCTTATAATGTTCAATCAAAATCTTCTCTCTTGTAACTTAAAATAAATTACTACCCCATGGATTATTTTTGCAGGTATATAACTTTGGATAATATTTACAAGTTAATCTTTAGCATCTGAAATAAAGAGTTTCTTCTTTCTACACCCCATTGCCTACAATGGATCAACATGTAACAATGATCAATGGGCTAATAAAAAGCCATTCA